GGAGTGATCAGAAACCCCCTCAGCCAATACCTTGGTTTTAGTTCCAAATTTGGTCATCCAAATATCATTAGACAATGCCCTATCTATTTTTACCAGATCCTCTTATCTGGCCCTTGCGTGTTGGACCATGTATAGTGAGGCCCCACCCATGGGATCTCCTCCAATCCACACTCTAACACACACTCCTTAAAGTCCTTCATTTCATCCTCTGTAACCAAGTTACCCCCTTCCTATCCTTAGCTTCCAGTACTGAATTGTAGTCTCTAATACAGCACCAAGCCTCCCTCATGTGTTGTAAATATCTCCTCAGGTTTTCCTGAAGAAGTCTCCTACTGCTTTGGTCATTAAAGCCATACACAAATGTAATCCAAAAGTACTCATTATTATCCAGCTCCCTTGCCTTGCAATGGATAGTTTGTGCAGTTCGATCTATCCATTATGTGAACCTGGACCTTTTTATTCCATGCCACCCAGATCCTTCCCATTGGGTGACATTCCACATTAGTTGTCTTGTCTTAATCCTTGAACATCTTATTCATAATCTCATCCTCCTCTTTTTCTATTTTAGTTTCTAAGATACGCATTATAGTAACTCCATATTTATTCACCAAATTCTTAATTTTACACTCCTTATTGGGCTGTTGAGACCCCTAATATTCCAGCTCATGATCATGACAAAAAGAGGTAGTGACCTGTGCAGGGGCATCCCTCCATCCCCCCTTATTTAATTCATCTATTGTTATTCTTCTAGCACTTTTCTTCTTACTAACTTCTTGAAATCCATCCCCTTGGTCAACTGCCTCTTTTTCCTGCACATCTTCCAATTCCTCCTTATTTTCCCTTTCCTCTGGTTCAGGTTCATCTTCTTGTTTCTGTTCAGGTTCCTCCACTTGTTTCTGTTTGGGTCTCCAAACTTTTTTGATAGGTCCTTTTCCTTTTTTGTCCTCCTGTTTCTTCCTGCATTCATCACAAGTATGACCCATTCTATTGCATCTTGCACATATAGTAGGCCTCCATTCATATTCCACAGACTGGGATATGACTCTGCCCTCTTCATCAGCAAAATGAATGAGATTAGGGAAATCTTGTGGCTGTTGCCCTATCTCTCCTCACAGGTTTGCCAACCATACTCCCAAGTTTGATCAATCCTGTTAGGCTCCAATCATACTCCAATATTTCTTTAAACCACTGTTACATCTCTATCGATGATCCAAAATTTGCACACATGCAAAAAAATAAGATTATTACGCGTAATATTGAAAAGTTAGATTATTTTTGGAAATCGTGTCATTGTGAGATTACTACACTCAAACCCGTGCGTTGCACGGTCTGAGTTAAAGCTAAATAAATAAGGGAAGCATTGACAGAAGTAAAAGATAAAATTTGTTAAACAAAGATACGTAATATATATTAAAGAGGAGAAGTTTTACAACAACGCACAGCGTGATAGAATAACATTATAAGTTTTAAAAAAATTCTTTATAGACTACATTTGCAGTTTTATTAGATGTCGCAAGATCTTCACCACAAATCAAAATCTTTAATCCATTGCGATTAGTGACTCGTGATAATGCCACATAAATCTGGCCACGACTGAATACAGATTTCTTTAGTAAAAGCCTAACATACGTCAATGATTGTACTTGACTTTTATTAATTGTTAAAGCATAAGAAATCATAATTGGGAATTGTTTCCTTTGAAATTTAAAAGAAATTCTTGCATCTGATGGTGTAAGCAACAATCGCGGGATAACAATTTCTTGACCAATATTTTTCCTATCAACAATCGCGGGATAAAAATATGTTCATATAATTCATCCATCTTTATTCGGGCCAGTAAATACTTAACCAATAAATATACTCACTTCGTCATTGAGTATTCTTCGACAATTTATTTTTTCCGTAAAAATTAGTAAATTTTGACTTTAAATTAAAAAAATGCTACAGATATTGATACAATAATAGTTCTATTACATTTATTATATCAATTATTGTCAAAAAAATTGATTTATCTAATTAATATATATTTTATTGAAGATAATTGACCAAAAAAGTCAAATCAGGATAAAAACTTAGGGAAGAAGATGGTAATATGACTAATATCTAATAAGTAATAGCTCAAAAATTTTTCGTACCCGTGCGTTACACTGTAAAAATTTGTTATTATATTTGTCACATCTTAAAATAAATTTATTAGATTTATTATATCAAATATTATCAAAATATTATTTTATCTAATAAAAATACAATATATATTATATTTAATAATAAATCAAAAATTAAAAATACTTGATAAAAAAAGTCAAACCTAGACAAAAACTTAGTGACAGAGATAGAAATATATAATAGGCAATAACTCAAACTTTTTTCGGCCCACATTATATTTCCGGCCCAAACAATATTTTCGGCCTAGACTCGGTTCATATAAAACCTACTTATCAAACCTTATTAAACCTACTAAATTCTTCCGCCGCATCCACCCCCTCTTTCTCGACATATTATCTTTCTCATGATGTCTCTCTCTTTCTCTCCTATCTTGTTGTTTCTTGATTATTAAACATATACATTTGTTGGTTTCCCTATAAGCAGATTTTGTTCGTCGATGCATCAATGGCTTTATTAGGTATTGATATTTTTAGAGAGTATTTTTTGGATCGTTTTGAGTTTTGTTTTGATTTTATAGTTTTTTTCATCAAGATCTGTTATAATAAAGAAGATCTTTAGATTCTAGATTTTCATTACCCGATTTCTTTAGATTCTGGAGTTTTTCATTAGCTGATTCCCATGGGCTCCATTTTGATTTAATGTTTTTTTCATCAAGATGTGTTAAAAAGCATATTTATATCATCCCATTTATAAATAGATTTCGAAAATTATACTATCTCCGTCCATAAATAAACTTTACGTTACGGGTTACAATGTTTGACTGAAAATATTTTTAAATCATTTTATATGAAAAATGGTGTGAAATTTTAAAATAAAAATCACATATTAAAAAACTATATCAAAAGATCTACAAAACTATAGGTGACATGACTATATTATTTTATCAAATGAGTAACAAAAATAAGTCAACAAAGTGAATAAAGTGTGACCCTGTGAATAGTGAACGTAAAGTTTATTTGTGGTGAGTATATAGGTATATGTGTGTGTGTATATATAGACATATATATAATTTTCTATATTACACACACACACACACACACACATATATATATATACATAAATACAGTATATTAATATTTGAAAAATATTAGCCTAGAATATATATATATATATATATATATATATATATATATATATATATATATATATATATATATATATATATATCTGTGTGTGTGTGGATACGTCTTTCACCCATAATGCTAATCTGGGAGCAGCTATTCTTAGAGATGACCAGGGTAGATTCGTTGGTGCCGCCTCTTTCCAAGTTACAGGTGAATCACCCTACCAAGCTGAAGTGGATGTAGCCATCAAAGGAATAACATGGGCGCTCAAGTGTAATAAACTCCTTGTGTTCGAGACGAATGCTAAGGAAATCACTGTGAGACTTGCAAAATACTCTCTCTGTCCTAAAATTAACTTCTCACTTTCCTTTTTTGGTTGTCCTAAAATTATCTTCTCATTACTTAAAATGGCAAGGCTTACTATGGTAGATGACAATAATGCCCCCATCTATTTATTCTTTCCTTTTCACCCTCAATTTTCTTCACTGGTTCAATCTTCCCCATATCCCCACAGTATGTTTTCTTCTCTGATCATCTCCCTTTTCTTATCTTTTCTTTTTGCTTAATTTTCTTGATTCATACAAAAAAGAACCATCACACCCATGTCTGCTGAAGAGTCCCCACCCAAGAAAGTATTGTCGAGTTTCCCCTACCTGCCGTCTCTAAAATTTACCAAGTATGCGCCGCCATCTCTGTAGATTATTGAACAGTCGCCACCGTCTTTATAAATTATCGAGCTTCCATCGCCATCTTTGAGGAGGCTTTTCCCTTTTAGATCTAAGTGATAAATTCAATCTGCAAAAATTCTGTTCTTTTTATTTGCTCGACGAGACATGCGATTCTTTGTGGTCTTATTTGGGAGAATTGATTTGATCGAGGAGGACGTATATATGGAGAACTGAAGAATTAATTGAATTTCCAAATGGGATTTGTTTGATTTGGAGAATTTTGAATTGGGAGTGAAGGTTTGGGTGCAGATGAATATAGGGGTATTCTGGGAAAGTCAATGTATTTTTTACACTTCTTTAAAAATCACTCCCGGTCAAAGTGGGAAATTAAATATAGGACGGAGGGAGTATGTTCATCACTAACACTCTCGTTTTCCAATTGATATCTTGGGTACCATGAACATTTGGACGTCTCGTACTCTTTGAGAAGGAAATCAGCCCGCTGACTTATTAGCTAAAGAAGACACAACCAAAGGATGCAATTTTATTGAATATTGTAATATTAGCGATTGTTCTTCTTCTGTAAAAGCCGCTCTCTTTAACGAGATTGTACCCTCCTTTTGATTTCATTAATAAAATTTATATATATATATATATATATATATATATATATATATATATATATATATATATATTGTTGAGTCCAAAATATTCACTAATTATTCTCTACCAAATCAGTATTTTCGGGCATTAAAAAGTGCATTTTTACACTTAAATGATCATATTTGCATTCTAGGCATCATTTATAAAATATGTTCATAATGCACACTTTTCAGTTTATTTTTGAATATTATTGTTGTGGACCCAAATTCTCCTTGACAAAGGTTATTAGATATATCTTTGGAGCATGAAGTGTGGGCTGAAAATGTGAAAGCAATCCAGTTGGGCTCTACCCGACTTATGGTTTCAAAGGAAATTCAGGCCCAAGATGACAAATTCAGGCCCAAAGGAAGTTGAGAGAAGCTGCGTAAAAAAGGAGAAAAAGAGAGAGAGACGTGTGAGATAGAAGAGCCGAAGACTCCCTCTCCTACATTGGGTCGGCCTCTTCAAGCATAGCTGGAGCCGGAGAATCCGCAGCAAGAATTGCAGCGCACAAGGAAGTCCTAATCGAAGACGAAAGAGACGAAGAGCACCTATAAATTGAGGGAGGGCTGCGAAGAACTTCACCACCACCAATCAAGAAGAAAATCAGAGCTAAAACCAAAGGGTAATAACCCTAGGGGGTTCGGATCTTGCATCCGAAACCCCCACTGTTCTTTTTTTTGTGTTCATTTTTTGTAGTTTTTTGTTGAACTTTGGTACAATTAGTTTTTTCCTTTTTGTTTTCTGTTTTTAGTCCCCAAATTGAAGGTGTTTCTTTTGAATTGTCAAGATTATTGTTGAAGGTTTGCTTCTGGTTTTGATAAAGTTTTATTTAAGATTAAGTCCAGCATTGTAGAACTAGCTTCGAACCACCTGGACATTTCTTTAGTCCATGTTGATTTACAAGTTTAGGCTACTGAATTTAATTTTAAAGTTGCTGCGGTTGGTTTTTTTTCACTACATGGGAACATGATTTCCATTTGGGTGAATTCACCCAGTAAGGTTTTCTTCTTCATTTTGAGATAACCTCAAGATTAAAGCTAAGATTTTTAAAGGAATGCTGTGCACTTTTGAGACAAATTTTAACAATAATTATTCTTGGTTTGAGAATAGGTTGCAGTAGAGTAACTAGCTGGTTGTAAGTTAAATGAAGCAAACTTTCAAAGTAATTTTTGTCGTCTTATTTGGGATCTGATTTTGTCAAAATAGCATTTGAAACCAGAATTTTTGGAAGAAATATTGAATCTTGTTGCTTAAAATTAAATCTGTCTATGGGTTTACACTTTTACTTCAAGTTTAATACTCTTAAAATAATTCCAGTTTTTGCTACTTTTAAATTAATTCAAAGGTGTTTGAGAACTATTTTTCAATTGATTTTACTTAAGTTGGGTCAAATTAGGATCGCGACCTAATCCAATTTAAAATGATATTCTTTTATAGTCCAAAGTGCTTTAAATAGCCGAACTTTTCTAGAAACCAAGTGTCACTTGATTAACCTAGGCTGCCTCGTTAAGTGGTTTTTGCTAATCAAGGTTCTCAAACTGATTTTGTTAAATAACCTTCGAGTTACTGTAAGATTGTTACGGTGATGTTTTCCACAAATCTTAATGCACTATTCTTAGTAGTAATCTAAGGGTTGGTCTTTGGGTTGCTAAGGGTAGTAGGGTTTAGAGTTAGGGTTGGTCCTAACATGAGCTTTTATGAATGGGAAAATAGGAAAGAACCGTGTGAGATCGTGCGTGTAATGCAAAAGGAGAGAAAGGAATTTTATTATCTATGTTGTGTTTGATACAATAAATCTGCCCTCAATATATAGGAAGACAAGTTCTCCCCAACCCAATAGGAAAAGAAGTCTGTATAAGAAAGAAATCCTAATCAAACTAGGAGTAGTAGAACTCCTTAAGCCGTGTGCCTTGTCCCCCAAGAATCCCAACCGTAACACCCCCCCTCAAGCTGGAGCATGCGGATTTCGAGTGCCCAGCTTGGACAACAAATGATTGAACGGAGCGACGCCCAGTGGTTTAGTAAAAATATCAGCAGGTTGGTCAGCGGAAGAGATGTGTCCAGAACGGAGGATGCCACGCTGTATCTCGTCACGGACAAAATGGCAATCAATTTCAATATGTTTGGTACGCTCGTGAAACACAGGGTTGGCTGCAATATGCAAAACTGCTTGATTGTCACAAAAGAGAGTCATTGGGTGAGTGTGACGGACGCCAAGAAAAGGAGCAAGTTACGGAGCCATTTGAGCTCGTAGACATCAGTCGCCATGGCTCTATATTCGGCCTCTGCTGAGGACCGTGACACGGTCTTCTGTTTCTTCGTGCGCCAAGATATGGGAGAATCACCAAGACAAATATAATACCCGGAGACAGAGCGACGAGTAAGTGGGCAACTCGCCCAGTCGGAGTCACAAAATCCCGTGAGATGAAGAGAGCCTGAGGCCGAGAGGACAAGGCCTTGCCCAGGCCGAGCTTTGAGGTACCGAAGGGTTTGGAGAGCAGCTTCCCAGTGTTCCTGTCGTGGTCTTGCCATGAACTGTGACAAGATGTGAACGGCATAAGTCAGGTCTGGCCGTGTTATGGTGAGGTAGATAAGACGTCCAACTAACCGTCGGTACTGAGAGGGGTCAGAAAGGAGAGGACCATCGGCAAGGGCAAGACGATGATTGGCAGGAAGCGGAGTGGAGACCGGACGGCAGCCCAAGTGTCCAGTGTCAGCAAGGATATCGAGTGCATATTTGCGTTGAGATAAGAAGATCCCGTCAGAGTTACGCGCCACCTCGACGCCCAGAAATATTTCAACAAGCCAAGGTCCTTCATGTGAAAGCATTCAGACAAATAATTTTTGAACTTAGTGATAAAAGCTTCATCATTTCCGGCAAGTACCAAGTCATCCACATATATAAGAACGCGGAGCTCCACGTGACCACGGACGAGGGTGAACAAGGAATAGTCCGACTTGGACTGGGCGAAGCCATATGCACGAAGAGCGTTGGTGAGTTTAGAGAACCAACAACGGGGGGCTTGACGAAGCCCATAAAGAGATTTGTGCAAGCGACAAACCATGCCTTGTCTTCTAGAGGCGAACCCTGGGGGAAGCTGCATATACACCTCGTCTTGGAGATCTCCATGAAGAAACGCATTGTGGACGCCCATTTGGTGAAGACTCCAGCGCTTTATGGCTGCCACGGCTAGTAGAGCCCGGACGGACACAAGTTTGGCAGTGGGGGCAAACGTCTCTTTGTAGTCAATACCTTCCTTCTGTCGGTTGCCGAGAATAACCAGCCGAGCTTTATAGCGTTCAATACTGCCATCAGATTTGTGTTTAATCTTGTATACCCACTTCGACCCGATCGCCTTTTTATGAGGAGGAAGAGGGACCAGCGACCAAGTGCCATTAGCGGCAAGTGCCTCCAATTCGTCCTTCATGGCCGCCCGCCATTGTGGATGTTTGACAGCCTCTTTAAAGCTAGTGGGTTCCTCATCTGCAGTAATTGCTGCCAAAAAACTTCTGTGTGTAGGAGAAAAATTATCACAGTTAACAAATTTAGTAATGCAGTGTGTCGTACCTGAGGTGGGGATCGGAGTGTCGGAGCAAACTGGTGTACTATAGACCGTGTGCATGACAAAATCACGGAGGTGTGACGGGGGACGACGATCACGCTGACTTCGGCGACTTGGTTCCCCATCTGGAGGAATGTCAGGATTTGGTGGGTGAGGGGGTTCAGAGAGAGTGGTGGGATGGGGTTCGGGTTGACTAGAGGTTGGAAGGGTGATAGTTTCGGGTGATGATGTGGCTTGTAGGATTTCGGGTGGTGTAGGGGGGCGGCTGAGGTTTGGGTTTTGTGGCGTAGGGTGTTGGAAGGCAGGCGGGTCGTCATCAACGAACTCGTCCGCCGGTGGCAGGGCGGGGGTTTGGGGCTGGTCCAATTGGACGAATGGGAAGGAGTGCTCAACGAATTTAACATCACGACTTACAAAGATTTGGTGGGTTTCAAGATCTTGCAGTCGCCATCCCTTTTGACCAAAAGGATACCCCAAAAATAGACAGCGACGTGAACGACTGGCAAACTTGTCCCCATGCGTTGCTTGATTGTGTGCATACGCAAGGCAACCAAAAGTACGTAGGTGAGCGTAGGATGGTTCTTGACCAAAAAGGATAGTATATGGAGTTTTACCTTGTAAGAGAGGAGTGGGTGTACGATTGATGAGATATGCTGCAGTAAGGACACAATCACCCCAGTATGGTATAGGAAGGTTAGCTTGGAACCGGAGAGCTCGTGCAACATTGAGGATATGTCTATGTTTGCGTTCAACCCTCCCATTCTGTTGGGGAGTGCCGACGCATGAGGACTCAAATATGATCCCTTGAGAGGCAAAGTATGGTTTCATGCACGTGAACTCCATTCCGTTGTCACTCCAGAGGGTTTTAACTTGAGCATTAAACTGACGCTGAACAAAAGAGAAGAAATTGTGCAAGACAGTGGACACTTCATCCTTGTGATTTAAGAGATACACCCAGGTTGCCCTTGAAAAATCATCAACAATGGTCAAAAAATATCTGGCACCACTACGTGATGGTGTACGGTACCCCCCCTCCCATAGATCACAATGTATTATTTTAAAAGGAACATCTGATTTATTCAAACTGATGGGAAAAGAATCACGACATTGTTTAGCCCGAAGGCATACATCACAAGGTAAAACATTTTGAGAAGACGAAGAAGAACAAAAAGGTAGAAAACGACAAATCTCTGGAGAGGGATGACCAAGCCGTTGATGCCATATGGTGAAATCCGTCACTGTTGGCACGGCACACGCCCTATCATGCACTCCCGGAATAAGATAGTAAAGACCAGCAGCTTGCTCACCCGTTCCAATCACCATCCTCGAGGTACAGTCCTGTATTATGCAAAATTTGTTAGTAAACTGGACAATTATTCTTTCCTTTCCAAGAAGTTGAGAGACAGAAATTAGATTGCAGTTGAGTTTACGCACTAGCAAAACATCCGTTAGTGTTAAAAATTTATTCAACACGACATCTCCCACTTGCGCAGCTTCTGCACTTTCTCCATTGGGTAGTCCAACTTTGCATTCTTTGATACTTTGTATGTTCATCAATCTGCGTCTATCTCCAGTCATATGTTGGCTATCCCCGCTGTCTATAATCCAAGAACCATTGGTCGTACCTGAAAATTGATTTTCACACTGCACGATAGTCTGACCCGCGAAGGTTCCCTCGGCTGGTTTATCTCTTGTCTGGTCCGTTCGGTCTGCTGCTCGGCTTCCAGTGCCACGTCCGGCAGTGACGCCACCTCTGCCGCCACGTCTGCCCGGTTGTACGCCACCACCGCGACTGCCTCCACGGCCGCTTCCCTGCATGCGAGGTCTATCTGCCCACCACTCCGGATAACCTATGATCTAGAAGCAACCACTTATTTCATGTCCTGTTTGTCCACAATGCTTGCATTTAAGATTATTGTCCCGAGTCGGTCTGCCGGCAGCCGCGGCGAATCCTACTGGGTTTCGTTCCTCTTCGGTTGTTAACTTTAAAACTCCTTCTTGTTGAGTTATCAAAAAGTAAACTCTATTGATCCAGGGGAGAGGCTCCGTGCTGAGAATATTGGAGCGGAGGCTTCCATATCCTTCATTATCGAGTCCCATCAAAAATTGATGGACTTTTTCTTCGTCACGTTGTTTCTCCAACAAAGCGGTGAGGCCGCACTTGCATCCTCCACACTTGCAAACCGGCACTTTCAACATATCATAAAGCTCATCCTAGATCGCTTTCAGTTTTCCATAATGTTTAACGATCTCCTGGCTGTTTTGCTTGGTGTTGGCGAGTTCCTTCTTCAATTGGTGGATGCGCGGACCATTCGCCACGGAGAATCTGGCCTTTATGTCGTTCCACAAATCTGCGGCGACCTCTACTTGTGTGATAGAGTTCCGCAGATCCGTCTCGATGGTGTTATAGATCCATGAAACGAGCATCGCGTTCACGATCCACCATTCCTCAATTTCGTCGGCGTCATCCTCGGGGCAGGGAACAGTCCCATCAATGAAGCCGAATTTTCTTTTTGCGCGAAGGGCGATTCTCATAGCCCTAGCCCATTCTTCATAATTTCTTCCGTTCAATTTGACCTGCGTAATCAGCAAGCCTGGGGTGTCCACGGATTTCAGATCATATGGACTTGGTTTCACTACCTTCACGTCGTCTTCATCAGCCGTCATCTTGGGTGGCTTTTCCGGCGTGGGTATCTCAGTCATGGCGCTAATTCTGCTCTGATACCATGTGAGATCGTGCGTGTAATGCAAAAGGAGAGAAAGGAATTTTATTATCTATGTTGTGTTTGATACAATAAATCTGCCCTCAATATGTAGGAAGACAAGTTCTCCCCAACCCAATAGGAAAAGAAGTCTGTATAAGAAAGAAATCCTAATCAAACTAGGAGTAGTAGAACTCCTTAAGCCGTGTGCCTTGTCCCCCAAGAATCCCAACCGTAACAAACCGTTGGTGGACCTCTTTTTCAGCCGGACCCTTGTTTTAATTTATAGTTGGTTGATGATTATGCTAGTTTTCAACAAAGTTTTGATCCCAGATATTTATTTTCTATATTATAAAACATTTTGTTGGTTTTCTAAAACTGTTTAAGTCTCTAAACTATTGTGTTATGTGTGCTTGTCTTCTTTGTTTAGGCTTTTTGGTGGAGTTATGTTCTGTTTTTATCCTTGGTTTGTTTTGAGTTTTGTTCTGGTGTGGTGTGTCACTTTAGTTAGTTTTTACTTTATTTAGAAAACAATTTTCAAACCCCCCCCCCCATCTTTTAATTTAGTTTATAGATTTTAGATAGTTGTTTTCACTCAATAAAAAGTGACCAAGTAAACCGATTTTCATAGCCTAAAAAATATCTTTCCTCGTGGGATCGACTCTTACTTATCCTATCTATAGATTTAAGGGGAGGGTTCCCATGACATTGGGAACCAATGTCATGGGATGACCCGGGGGCGCTCCGGTGCCCCGTTCGTAAAATTGACGGTTTCTACCCTCCCTAACCCCCCGGTAAACCTCCCACCCTGGCCCACCCTGAACAAACCCCCCCAACCCCTTCAATTGCACCCCACAAGTCGATTTTGACTTTGGAGTCAAAATTTGGGAACTAAGTAAAGGAACTAAGGTGTAGATTTAATAAATATTATTTTTACAAGAAGGAACTAAGTAAAGGAAAAGAATAAATTAATTTGTAGGTGCTACGACACGCCTAACATATATATATATATATATATATATATATATATATATATTAGAAGAAATTAATAAATAAATACTCCCTTTGTCCTAAATCAACCTTCCCGGTTTGACTTTAGGCCATTTTTAAGGGATTAGTTAATTTTTCTTTGACTTCCAACTTTGCCCCTCCATTAAAACTTTGAAATAAAAAAAGTAAATTCCATAATTGGTCCTTTATAATAGGGGGGTTTCCATATTTAGTTCTCTATTATCAAATATAACCCCCGTAATCCTTTTTTTAAGGGTATCTTTCCACAAATGGTCCTTTTTTTGATCTTCTGTCAGGTTGGTGTTAATTTAAAGGCTAAAAGTATAATTTGACATCAACATTATGTTTAGTGACGCGTTCTGATATTGGTTAAGCAGATAACACAAAATAATGATTATTTTTATGGGCTAGGGTTCTGACGAAAGACCGCATTAGTAGAAAGCGACTGTAATTCACAAACGACGCAAACGGAACAGCCTTTGAAATTGTGTATGACAAAAAAGATATATTATCATTGTGAAATTACATTTTTAGCCTTCAAATTAACACTAACATGATAGAAGATCAAAAAAAGGACTATTTGTGGAAAGATACCTATAAAAGAAGGATTACTTGGATAATATTTGATAATAGAGGACTAATTAGGGAAACCCCCTATTATAAAGGACCAATTATAGAATTTACTCAAATAAAAATTAAGGCATTTCATTCCCTTCCGACTTCTGAGTACGACTAACTGGAGAATCTCTCTCCTAAAAAATTCCCATTGATACTGGGAAATCTCAAATCTTTAACCCACATGGAAATAGGATACAACTTATACGAAGGAATAATAATTTGGTAATTTGAGGAAGATTTGGACATTTCTAGGGCAAATCTCACCAGTCCCATTTCGAATGAGGTTGGAAATCCTAGAATAGATCTAGGATTTTGTGGGAGAAGGAAATTACAGAGAGAGCGAGAGAAGGAGAGACGGAGAAAGATCGAAAAGGACAAATAGAGAAAGGGGGAGACATATATCTAGGGTTTAGACGGAGAAAGGTCGACGGTGGCTTACCTGCTCAGAGCGGCTTGATCGGCGACGATGGTCGAGCGAAGAAGAGAGACGGAAGAGAGAAGGTTGAGAGAGACGAAGAAGATTAGATCTACATTTTGAGGGGGGTGAAGAGAGACGGAACTCACGAAAGAGAGAAGCCAGGAGATTGAGATAATTGAGAGAGGGGTAAGATAGTCAATTCATACTCTTTTTTAAGAAGTGGGAAGGTAGTTTTAGGACGGAGAAAAAATGGAAGTGGGAAGATGGTTTTAGGACGGAGGGAGTAACAATTAAGCGCAAAAAAATTGAGAATATCTACATGTTCATTGTGAAAAATGATCACCATTGAATCTCCGCCTTTGTTCCTAACGGGAACAAAATAGACACGCACGATCCGTAACTTGAACATCCAATTGGTTTGAGTATTGTCAAGCTTGGCAACCGGAGACCACATGCTTAAGGAAGAACTTTTACACATTTGATGATTTTTAAGGCTACTTGAGAAGTTTATTCTTTGGGAATGAAGTTCACATCAATATGCTCGAGTATATATAATACATGCTTCTTGGTCTTTTTAACCATTCATCAAATGGCTAGATATTAAAAATCTTATGGATTTGACACAAAGTTACTTTTTCCAAGTCTACTTTATGGAGTCACTCAATTCTTTTCCCTAATGCAACTTTATGGAACCACTAAAATTGAATAGACATAAAGCAAATTTATGGAGCCACACACTACAGGTAGTAGCTGTCATCCGCAGCCCGATAAAGTAGCTGTCAACTGCAGGCCCACTAAATAAGAAAAAACTCAGCCCATGAACAGCAGGCCCGAATCTGGCCTAAAAGGAGGTGGAGAAAATGGCAGGAACACTGTTCATAAGCTCTTCTTACCATTGTATAAAGGAGGATTTCAGATTATTTTCCCTTAAATTTTTTAATGCAACATATTTGTTCAAATTGGTATTTTGTAATCTAATAGATGTTCATATAATATTTTGAATTTAATGCAAATGTTCTAAATTTAATTTTTTTAAAATACATTTCTATTTGTATAAGTGGACCAATACATTTTTTACTTCATTATTAATTAAGTTTTTAAAATATATTTCTCAAAATAAATTTATTAAATAATTATATGTATTTCAATCCACTTTCATGAGTGGATTGAAATTTATTTATTTTTTATAATTTTGATTTAATAAACCATGTTTTTGCTGATTCTACCATTTTTCAATATCAACACAATTATATAATTTCATATTGAAAGTATTGACCGTTCAACGCACGGGTGTTATGCTAGTAGAGAGAAAATTTCAATACGTATACATTCATTATTATTTATAGAATTAACAATATGGAAATAATAATATTTTAGAATGAAAATATAATGGGACAAAAATAATATTTTACTTTAAAATAGATACAAATTTCCGTTTTAAATTCATATAAATATAAATATGTAAATATAAAAAGATATACATATGAATTCATAAGGGTGGTAATAATAATAATAATAATAATAATAATAATAATATTAATATTAATATTAATAATAATAATAATAATATATGTATACTTTTATATTTTGTTTCGAGTAAATTCCATAAAAGGTCCGCAGTTATAGATCGTTTTACATATTTAGTCTCTATATATCAAATATTACTAATTTAGTCCCCAATTATTATATCATTTTTCATGAATGGTCCTTTGTTAATGTTTTTGTTAAGAACATTGATAAAATTGTATATTCATACTTCTCTCAATTCTCAATTAAGCTTCCTCCCTCCTCTCGTACTCTTTCTCAAACTCGTCGTTGAGTTTGAAGCTCTAAACCCAAAACTAAAAATGATCACACCTCTTTCAATAAGCTTTATGGATGAGTTTTATTGACTTCGAAGGTTATTGACTTCGAATTTGGGTTCCACCAGTTCGGCAAACAATTGAGAGAAGAGTGATAATTTCAGTTTTGGGTTCAAAGCTTCAAATTCAACGACGGGTTTGGGAAAGAAGCACGATGGGAGAGAAGAAAATTAATTGGGGAGAGAAAAGAGTGTGAATTTATAATTTTATCCACGTTTTTAAAGGAAAACGTTAACAAAGGACCATTTGTGGAAATGAACATAAGAATTGGGGACTAAATTTGTAATATTTGATATGTAGGGACTAAATATGTAAAACGACCTATAACTGAGAACCTTTTATGGAATTTACTCTTTTGTTTCCTTTTCGGTCCCTTTGGTCTATAAAAAACAGTTTCTCCTCCCATTGATCAAGACAACTATTTTCCGGATAGTATATTGACCTTTAATGACCATCTAATTTTCTAAACATTACAAACAACAATGATCTAAGAGCCTTTTTTAAGCTCCAAGCACGATAAAATAACTTGCTAAAAGCTTTTCAGAAGAGCTTACTCTCAAGTTCATACTCCAAACACGGCCTTCGCTGCACTGTTTAAAATGGTCAAAGTTGAAGTGAAGCAGCAGCAGCAGCAGAAGGGGTTCTTCTTCACTTCTTCTTCGTAAATGAGGAATACCATTGAATGACTTCCCAAGTGAGTGCCGGCGTTAGGGACTGCAGGACCGTTTGGAAGTGTCGATCGCACACAACTCTCGCTGAAATGTCTTCTCTTAAAGCCACGATTCCGGCTTCTCTGCACAATCCTTCCAATTCTGCCCCTGTGAAGAGTTCCGTGCTTTCAGCTACTCGCCTGAGATCAACGTCGGCATCTAGTTTCATGCCCCGTGTGTGCACACGGAGGATCTCATACCGAGCTTCCAAATCTGGCGGTGGCACATAAAGAACCTAAACAGAATACAGATTCTCCATTTACTTCTCTTTTTTCTACAAGGGTCAGTGTCGTATTATGACACCAGTGTATTTGGGGCGGGCCCTACGGTGCTCCGTTCGACCCCAAAGTAGAGTTCCTACCCTCATCCTCCATTTTGGTGACAATCCACTCTCAATAAATTGGCAATGGATTGTCACCTAAATGGAGGGGGAGTTTGTGGGAAGTAGTAGCCTCAAATGGAATGGTGTCAAAATATGACATTGGAGTTGAGTGTCAAAAGAACCCCAAGAAAACTCATCCCATAAGGGTTTAAACAGTGAGCAGTAAAGATATCACAAAAGACAAGGGGACAAAAAAATAAAATTTTCCGAAATATCCAAGTATAATTTGGCATCAATGGCCCAGTCAGGAGAACAGAACCTATGTGCTCAAGAGTGGAAATAAACCATGAAAAGAACTGTACCAGATCAAAACGTCCAGGTCGCATAAGTGCAGCATCAATTGCCTCAGGGCGATTTGTTGCAGCCAAAACAAGAATCCCCTAACAGAAAGAAAGAGAAGATATGTAATTGTGCCTTAGTTTTATATTATTTAGGTAATCCAAGGAAAATAAAGGGTTAAATGATCACACCTTAATTTGCTCCAGGCCATCCATCTCAGTCAGAAGAGTAGACAGAAGTCTCTCCCCAACAACACTACTTCTACTAGAACTTCCCCCACTGCAAGAGAGCAGATCAGAAAGAGAGAACAATTGTGATTTTATGGTGTAGTTCCTTTTTAGCTGACAACATTTCAGGAAAATGTATGAATAAAGAAGAGCATAAAGAGGATCTGATTAACAGAAAACACTCGACTCCACAAGACTGGCGTTAGAACTATTCCTAAATTAGTCAAATTAACTAAGACAGAAGGGGGCATTAATGAAATAAAAAATAGTTAGGTGAATGTATACATTTGTAAAGTGTGATTCTGGGTCATTAATTGAAGGGAATAGCTTACAGCTATGCCATTTTTTTTGTGGAACACATGGGAATTATAGCACATAAACTCACATTTATATAATGGAAGATTTTTATGATGAACTTACCGTTTGGCAGCGACAACATCTGCTTCATCAAAGAAAATTATGCTTGGTGCCGCAAGTCGAGCTCTTCGAAATGTATTGCGTAACAAAGCCTCGCCTTCACCGACATACATCGAATACAACTCTGCCCCACTGGTGCATAATAATGGAATTAATTTTTTTTCCGGGTGGGGGGAATGCAAATAAGCATGGACAGAGAGGGGTAAAATTTCATCCCAGACCTCAAGGAAAAAAAGGAAGCCTGTGCAGCATGAGCAGCAGCTTTTACAAGTGTTGTTTTAGAGCACCCCGGAGGTCCATGAAGAAGGATCCCACAAAGAGGTGATACTCCCAAGCGAGCAAATGCTTCGGAATGCCTTAATGGCCACTCAACAGCTTGTTGGAGCTTTTTCTGTATCATAAATCAAGTAAACTTATTGTTTGAAGATATTTTACCCGGACATACNACACCTCAAAAATATAGACTTAAAGTTGTGCACTTTACATTGAGGATATGAAAGCGTTCATCTTCATTAGGGGTTGTGACTTCAATCTCAGCATCAAAACGCCCAGACCTTCTTAGAGCCGGATCGATTGAATCCACTCTGAACATACATCACATGAACCTAACGTTAATCCTAAGTAACACTTGAAAGTAAAAAATGTACAAAAGGTAAAGAATACAACAAATTAGATACACACAACTGATACACAAATTATGGTTGGTGTATACAATTCACGAAGATCATAGCATGGTCTTAAGAATCCAAACGCTTGTTAAATTCAAAAGGAGATGCTTTATCCCCCTTCATAATGGAGAGAATTAATATTACTCTATTATAAAAGAAAATGAATAATACCATCCCCCAACCCATCATGATCCCAACATAAAAGGTTGGCTTTCTCTGGTCGTGACCAAGAGGCAATCATGGCACATCACCATCTTCATTGTACAAATGGTGGTACCCCCAAAAGCAACAATACCAAATTAGTGATCACCTTTCATAATGAAATATAGCACATCTACAAGTTTTAAAAAATCTAACATGATGATGTGATTCCCTAAATAGTCCTCCGTCAAAAATTCTCAAAATAGTCCTCCGTCAAAAATTCCATTTAATACCAAAATACCCTTTATTTCACTAGCATTTAATGGACATTTTTGGCGGATGACTATTTAGGGAATAAATCTCAATTACAAAGGATCATGTTGGTAATTATTATTTATTGAGGACTAATTTGGGAAAACACCTTATTAGAAAGGACCGTTTTGAAAATTTACTCTAATTACAGTCATTGGTTACTCGACTTGGTTCAGACAACCTCAGCCTTGAACGATATTTGATTACTCAAGCATTAAAAAATAAATATGGAGTAGAATTAAAAAAACACTCAGTACTTCATTAGGATATGATGCAAGCTGACTAGTTTGTTAACAAGAAAAGCGTATCCAAATTCATCAATATATAAACAGAAAACGATAATTTACTCCCTTGAAGTATTACTTGAACGGTTGAACCTACCTATTAGTTGCTGCTACAACTACTACATGTACTCCAGATGCTGAAAACGACTTATTGGAGTCCATCAACATAAATAGTTGAGAAGCTATACGAACATCTTGTTCCCTTCTGCAAAGCAGACTCAACAAGAGAGTTGAAAACTTATATCAGAAATTTATAACAAACAAATACATAGAGAGAACTCTCAGTAATAAAGCTTTCAAATAAAGTAAAGAACAATGTAGGAGAAAAATAAAATACTAATTTAATTGATCACCTAGAATCACGACGAGGGCAAAGCACATCAATTTCATCTATGAAGATAACTGATGGTTTCCCAAGCTTTGCTTGAGATGATGCTTTTGCAAATGTTTCCCGCAAAACTTTCTCGCTTTCTCCAGCATATGCACTGTGAACACTGTGTGGGCTTCAAAACAAAGAAACATCAAAACAACCATATGATTCTCCAAAACAAAAAGTTGGGTGTTGAGATTCTTCATAGCATAATTATATGACAATCTCAACAGTAACATCATGATGAAAAGATGCAGTAAAAAGCTAAAAACATTTGAAAGTTTTCAGAGTAACCAAATGCTCCTACAGTTACATACTTGGCATCATTATACAGAAATCAGTGCAAATCAAATCCACTTCATTTAATAATATGGATTGTATGGCGGAAACTTTACTGCATAGTAAAGAACTAAATCCCAGACGTGACTCGAGAAAACATCAGAAACTAAAGTACTCCGTACCTAATAACAGTCAAATGCGCTCCGCATTCTTGAACAACAGCTCGAACCAAACTTGTCTGGAATTCATAATATATTACCGAAACATTAATTTCAAAATAGATCTTTTTTTGGCAGTTCAAATGGCATCAAGTTAAATTCTAAGGAGTAGATGATAGTAGACAAGCAAGTGAAAAATGGCATACCTTACCAGTACCCGGTGGACCATATAGCAACAAACCACGAGGCCACTATATGAAGAGTAGAAGAAAACCACGAATTAATATAAGTCTCTCCGCATTACAGCCTGGGGAAAATATATATATAGAGATATAATTGCATCCAAATTACTTTGAGTCCAAGTTTTTTAGACTCTTGAGAATAGAGGAGCGGATACATGATGAGTTCCCTCAGGGTACGGATGGCCTCTGCATTCCCAGCAACGGCTTCCTCCGCCGTCCACGCTCTGACGCCTGGCTCAATTCCGCCGCCGCTTACCATTAGAATATTTTATTAGGTGTTTCTGGACCGTTTTCTTCAGATTAGGTTGCGAAGTTGTCAACTTCTATGGCTACAAGGATTGGCAATTGAAGATTTTCACTAGAAATTGCAATTTCTGAGTGAAGCAACGACTTCAAGCTGCTAAAATCGATAATCTACGACTTAAAGCGGACTGAAGAACAATCGACAATCTCGCCGTCGCCGGTTCCCCTGGGCGTAGTGCTCTCTCTGTCTTCCCCGGAGAGTTTCTGCAGGTTGGCTGGTTCAACTTGACTGGACTATTCGGGCCGGATACATTTTCTCCATACCTACAATGCATAAAAAACTGATTCGGCCCATTTTGATTTTTTTAAAAAAAACTCCATATCAAACATTGTCAATATAATATGAAATCAGCGTTAGCATTTTAAGAAGGATATCTAACGCCAGCTTAACTCTAATCAGAAACACTTATATTAATAAAAAAACGTTAACATTAATCGAAAATATTGTTTCCAAACTAGATCAATATGGAGTACTTTGTAGTTTAGCCGCATAAAAACGATAACACTAATAAAAAACCTAGTATCACATTTTGACAAAGAAAATAAATGGATAAATTTACCCTTATAAATGTAAAAAAAGGAAAATTAAGGATAAAATTTTCCATCAATATCAATACTTTATTTAAAAGCAGAAGAAATATTAACCTCATTTTCCTGCTCATTTACTTTGGCTTAAATATGGTACGTGTGCATTTTATTGTAACATATAAATTTATTATATTTATATGTGTATAATAAAAATGAACAAATAATATATAAAAATATATAAATGCTACGAAGTAATATTTTGTGGACCATCTATAATGGTAATATATAAATGGTAACTTATATTATAATATTCCGTATTATGCGTAAAAGAAAAAAAGGACATCTGATTTTGAGATTATAAAATAAATGTTGTTATTTTTTTCAACTTTAGCATTGCATGTTCCAAGGTGGTAACGATAACATTTTTATGTTCAAAGAGAAATAGATTTATGAAATATTAAATTTAAAGTTCAACACAATTTCTAACATTAATATATAAACCAAATTTTTTCAAATTTAAATAAAAAATAAAAAATTGTCAATGAGATGAAAATGTGAAGTGCGATGATGATGATGATGGTGGTGGTGGTGGTGGTGATGATGATGATGATGATGGTGATGATGATGATGATGATGATGATGATGATAATAATAATAATAATAATAGTAATAATAATAACAACAACAAAAACAACAACAACAACAACATTATTATTAATATTGATATCAATATTATTCTCTCCGTCCCATATCTTTCTTCCCACTTTCCTTTTTGGGCTGTCCCATTTGATTCTTCCCGTTTCCTAAAATGGAATTAAAATATAACTAAAGTTACTCTTTTACCCTTTTTTTATTATTTCTCTCCCTCATTCCCCTATTCCTCTTCGTGCCACTCACCCAGACCATCCTTCATCTCCATTCTTCTTTTACTCTATATTCTTCTTCTGCATCTCCTCCCCTTTATCTTCTTCGTTCTTCTTCTCATGCATCGGCTTCAGACCTCACCCCTCTCCTTTATTCTTTTACTTTGTGTTCTTCTTCTGCGTCTCATGGTCTTTGTTCTTCTTCTCTCTTCTACTGCAACATCTGCGTCAGACCTCCTCCCTCCCCCTTCCGATTCTTCTTTTTCTTCTTTTTGATTTTTAATTTCTTTCATTTCTTAGATTTGAAACACAAACTTCATTTTCAATACCTTCAATTCTCTAGATTTAAAAACTAGATTTGATTTTTAATTTCTTCAGTTTCATAGATCTAAAACTTAAATTTTGATTTTTTTTAGATTTTAAAAAAATTTGAAGATAAATAAGGGGTGAAGAAGAAGAATAAGGGGGTACGGTCTGAAAAAGGAAAAAGAATTAGAAAATCAAGAAGAGAAGTTGCCACTAGTAGTTGAAGTTCTTCTCTCATCGCAGTCATTCTTCTTGGGTTAATGGGGTTGCTTTGGAAATAAATTCTGGACATGAAAGTTTGAACAAGGACTAGATTTGCTTAATGGAGTTGCTTTTGAGAATTATATCTGTTTCTTAGATCTAATTCTTTGTTTACTCTTTCACCATGAATTAGATCTATTTTTTGGATCTGTGATTTTGATTTTTCGAACTTAATGAAATTCGACAGTGATATCATTTTGTTTTCTAAATTTAATTTTGAAGAAAAATTACTCTGTATATGTTTGGGGTGATAAAAAGCTGGTAGGATTGAGGTTGAGGAAGCATATGGATGAAGGAGACGAAGGTAGTAGGTGGAAGGGCAAAAAAGGAAAGTCAACACTTTTTTCACTTTATATTAAAAATCGTGCCAAGTCAAAACGAGAAGTTTCAACTGGGACGGAGGGAGTAATACTTTATTTAAAAGCAGGAGATTTATTGCCAGATTTTCCCAATGACTATGCATCAATGTATGGAAATATTATATTTCATATAAAAATATTATATTCATTATGTATGGGTATTTACGCTATATGTGTTGTTTGCGTTACACATAGAAATATTCATTTTATTATATATGAATATTTTCGTTACAGAGTATATATTTTATGTGCATTATATATGAAAATATTGAATTCGTTATATTGAAAACATTTTGTGTGGATTTGATAGAGATATTTTCATTATAATTGTTAGACAATAATAATAATAGTACTTCTTGTAGTATTGGTTATGGTAGTGTTCCATTATTAGTCAGCTTCCCAACATGGTATCAGAGCCACCGCTCTTGGTGACCTAAAAAAAAGTTCTTTGCTCCCACCGCCGCCCCCGGTAATTCCGGCGACGGTGGCTCCACCTTATTCACCTCTATTTTCTTTTCCTTCTTTATCCTGAAATCAACTTCTCCATCCAAATGAAAAAAAGAGAAAAAAAACCCTGTTGAAATCTCACACAAAAAACAATCAAAGGAGGAACTTCTCTCTTGTCATCTCCATGGTTCTTCAAAAAAAACTCAACTTCTCACAAACTCTCTCAGACCATCCTATCTTCTCAAAAAAAGGAAAAAAATGATTGTTATTTCTTTCCAATTCACCATATCAAAATCTCAGACCCAAATTTTTTTTTTCCATCACCAATTCTTAACCTACTTTTTCTCTCTAAAATCACCCATTCTAATCATCAACCTCCCTTCTTTTTCTCTTCTGTTAAACCAATAAAAATCCAAAGTAAATCAGCACAAAAGCACAGCCAAGAGAAGTAGTGAAAGAGGAAATAAGACCTCTACAACTCACCCCTGCAAGAAGGAAATAAGGCAATGCCCGGATCCAAGAAAAAGACAAAAAATGTCAAGGATCTTCAGTCAAACAGGCACCTCCAGTAGCCTTCTCTATTCTTCTTTGACGTCAGCAGCTACAAGCGCACGTCAACCTTCTCTCTTCTTCATCGACGTCAGCAGCTACTAGCGCACGTTAACTTCTCTCTTCTCCAACGACGTCAGCAGCCAGCGGCGCACGTCAGGCTTCTCTCTTGTTCAACAACGTCAGCAGCCACCGGCGCATGTCAGACTTCTCTCTTCTCAAAGTTTTCAGTTTCCAGCTAGTGTCCAAACTTCCTCTTGCTTCAGCTAGAGTTCAGCTTGAGCGGGGATGTTAGACAATAATAATAATAGTACTTCTTGTAGCATTGGTTATGGTAGTGTTTCATTATTAGTCAGCTTCCTAATCCTATTATCAAATTCCAACAATAATTTATGGAAATAATATATAATATTATTGTTATGGAACGAAAAATACAATGGAGACCACATATATATATATATATATATATATATATATATATATATATATATATATATATATAGAGAGAGAGAGGCAATATTTATACATATGTGTGTGTGTGTTAGGGTTCATTATTATTTATGAAAATATTAGTAATGGGACGAAAATTATACTTAAAAAATGATATATATATATATGTGTGTGTGTGTGCGCGCGCGCGTGTCTGGAACAAAAATATTGTGGAAATAATGGTATTATGAAAATGATAGTATAATAGAGACCACATTTTTATTATGAAAATATATGTATTATGAAAATGATAGTATAATAGAGACCACATTACTAGAGACAATATTTTCGCACACACAAACACATATACGTGTATTATTATTTATGAAAATAATAGTATTATAGAACAAAAGTATAATTCGATGAAAACAACATTTCAATTTAAAAATGATATAAATGTGGAATGAAACTATAATGAAGATGGGTACTATTAATAATACATACTATTACATTCCATTTTTTTTAATTTCCTTTGGTTTATATTGAGTTTTTTAATATAATAAAAAAATAATTATAATAGTTTTATTATTTATAATAATATAATAGTAATAGTAATATTAATAGTATTATTATAAATAGAATTTTTACAATACATAAAAAATACCATACCCAAAATTTAACTATTCTTAGAAACATAATTTTTTGTTATATATTTTGTGTGTGTTATATATGGAAATATTGAATTTGTTAATATAATAGAGAGCAAATTTCAATACATATACATTCATTAATATTTATAGAAATAACAATATGAAAAAACAATATTTTAGAATGAAAATATAATGGGACAAAAATAGTAGTTTACTTTAAAATAGATACAAATTTCAGCTTTAAATTCATATAAATATAAATATGTAAATATAAAGATAGTGAACTTGTGCTTTGTTGATGATCTAATAGTGGTGGGAAAAGCTGATAAGGAGTCTATTATGTGTATTATGAGAGTATTGGAGGATTTCAAAGGGGCAACAGGACTGAGAATAAACAAAAACAAATCCCAAATAGTGTTTGGAGGAGTAAATCAGTAGATTAGAGAGGAGTTACTGGGTATGACAGGTATGAAGATGGGCAAACTACCATTTACATATCCGGGGAGTCCTATCACTACATCCAAATTGAAACAAGCCGATTGTGATACCCTAATCAATAAACTGACTAGCAGGATAACAACATGGGGCACTAGAAATTTATCATATATGGCTAAAGCCTAGAGTCAGGATCATTAATTCGATACTCATGGGGATAATATCATTCTGGACCAGAATCTTTATTTTGCCTAAACAGGTCATAAAGAGGGTTATGGCAATTTGTAGGAACTTCTTATGGAGCACCAATCATGAATACAAAAAGACACCATTGGTTAATTGGGAGGAG